GCAAAGTCTGGTATATATTACATCTGCATTCTTTTTGTCTTCTAGTGCATTTAGGATTACCAACAGACCCCTGGCAGTCTTCAAGCTGGCACTGGACAAGCACCTAAAGTCAGTTCCTGATCAGCCGGGCTGTGGCTCGTACGTTGGTTTGCGTGCAGCCAGCAGCAACAGCCTGGTTGATCAGGCTCTGATCCACCAGGAGGCCTGGTCACAGACCGGGCCGCGGGGGCGTTGACCCCCGGAGCTCTCTCCAGGTAACTCCAGGTAGACGGAATATATTACAAACTGAAAATTATAGTCAGTTATTCTTAGAGTCAAGAAAATTGAGAAAAATAAAATCAGACGTCTTCGAAACCTATTTTTTTTTCGAAAACTGCTGTTTATCATTAATTTTAGTTAATTTCTTAATTGCAGTTCAGTTTAATTTCCATGTTGAGGGCCCCTCAAACCTGAAGTGCCCCGGACTCCACAAACCTGAAGTGTCCCGGGCCCCCCAAACCTTAAGTGCCACGGGCCCTCCAAACCTGAAGTGCCCCAGGCTCCCCAAACCTAAAGTGTCCCGGGCCCCCCAAACCCAAAGTGCCCCGGGCCCCCCAAACCCAAAGTGCCCCGGGCCCTCCAAACCTAAAGTGCCCCGGGCCCTCCAAGGTCTAAATCCGGCCCTGAGTACTAGAGGAAGAGAGCACAACTTTGTAGTATCCACAGTCAGTGGCCAGACTTCAAACACCTTTTATTGTACATCAATAAAGAAATGGAACAGAATGCCTGCACATGTCAAAGCCAGTCATAGTATGAACCAGTTCAAGAAGAGAGAGAAAAGGTGTCTAATGAATGTAGGGACAGAAAGGAAGGAGAATGACTATTTTTATTTTTTAGCTAACACACATGTAAATATAAACAACTAATTTTACCTTATTCCTGGTATATATCCTTTATAGTATAACAGTAAGATATTATCTCCTTTATAGTACAATAATAAGATATGTTCTCCTTTATAGTATAATAAGGTATTAAAAGGACCCCAATGGAAATAAGTCACTGTGACTTTTTTGGGTTATCCCAGGTTCTCTACACATATGCTGTTATGTATGATAATCTATGTAACTGTATCTGTGTATACCTGAATAATCTTACTTAGTTAGTTTAATCTTTATTATGCACCCCATACCCATCCTGTGGGCGGTAGTCACAAGATTAGAGGTACATAATGGGTCCAGGGACTGGGCCCGAGAGCTTTGATAGCTAAACAAGTTACAAAGGTAATGAACTCCAGGTAGATATGGTCACAAGTTACAAAGGTATTTACAGATTACAGAGGTACATAATGGGGCCAGGGACTGGGCCCCAAAGTTTTGATAGCCGATCTTACTTAACAATCGTTTCGTCTCAGAATTGGGCAGTCTCCCCTCGGGGTTCAATAAAGCGTCATCTTTGGTGGCCCTGAAGAACATCAATGATAACAGCTGTCAAGCTATTAGGTTTATTATGGTGTCAGTGGCGCTGATAAACCCAACAAAGAAAGAGAGAAACCTAGCGAGCTTCTTTTCAATCATTATTGCTGATATATTCATAAACAAGCGCTAAATCTGTATGGGTGACACAACGCTGCGCATAGGTATGTGTGAGGGTAGAGTTACTGAAGGAGGGATTTACTGCCTGAATAAGTAAGTTTATTCAGGTATACTGTATAGTCCTTGTGGCTTAGCGCTTCTTTTTGATTATAATAATTATTCAGGTATACACAAATACAGTCACATAGATTATCATACATAGCGTGCAGCCAGCAGCAACAGCCTGGTTGATCAGGCGCTGATCCACCAGGAGGCCTGGTCACAGACCGGGCCGCGGGGGCGTTGACCCCCGAAACTCTCTCCAGGTAAACTCCAGGTAATATGTGTAGAGAACCTGTGATAACCCGAAAAAGTCAGAGTGACTTATTGGTGACTAGTGGCAGAAACTCTTCACACACACCCTTCAAGGGAAGTTCCTTGATGCTGGTGAGGGGTTCTTGATCTAGGGAATTGGATCTGTGCACCAGTTCCCTGAATTAAGCCTGAATACCTTCCACATTCCCCCCACAGCACTGCATAATCCTATGGGTTTAGTGCTCTCCCCTTGATTATAATAATCTTGCTTCACGCGCTGAGGGTCCGGGTTCCGGCGGGTGGAAACTTTCAACGCGTTTCCTTAAACCTGTTGTCCTGTTCACCTAGCAAGTAGGTATATGGGTTTTAGTTGACTGGTGTGGGTGGCATCCTGGGGAACAAGATTAAGGACCACAATGGAAATAAGACAGACAGTTCCTCAATGATGCACTGTCTTTCTTGGGTTATCCTGGGTGGCTAACCCTCCAGGGTTAAAAATCCGAAAAAAAATCTTCTCTTCTGGCTAATAATATTTTATTACACATAAACTACATAATCTTGATACAGTAGAAAAGAAATAAAATATTTGTATTTGCATTTGAGAATGGAAATAAGTCACTTGACATTGTTTTGGGTCATACTAGGTAATTTACACTATGTATTATGTACTTATGTGTACCTGTGCCTAACTTATTTTCTTACACAGAAATAAAGGAGTAGAAAGGATTGCCAACACATGTGAAAGCCTGTCCTAGCATGAACCAATTCTGGAAGAGAATTAAAAGATACCTAAGAATGAAGCTACAGAAAGGAGAGTGATTTAATAATAATAATAATAATCTATTTCTACAAGTACATTTACAAGGTATACAGACCATAGCTGATATCAGTGATGTACTACTATATAGAAAGCTGCTTGTTATGCGGAGAATTTCGGGCAAATTAGGTCAATTTTGGCAGCGTTTTTCTCTCCAGGAGCTTTGTCAAGCTCCATGAGAGCGAAACGTTGCCACAATAAAATTGGTTAATTTTGTCCCCAGGATGTGACCCACACGAATCAACTAATACCCAGGTACCTATTTTACTGATAGATGAACAGGGATAGTATTGTATATGTATAGTTAACATTCATGTACCTATTATTGTAAGATAATCCTCTTGTTAATGTTCATGTACTAATATCGGTTCACTTTATTCCTGTTGTATCTACTGTAATTGTAGCTAATTTTCGCACAGTCAAGTTACTTAGGTTATAACCATGACTGATTCCTACTGTAACTTACTGCTAGGCTTTAAATATGATTTTACAAGGACCCCAATGGAAATACGTCACTTTGTCGGACTTTTTTGGGTTATCCTAGATAATTTACACTCATAGTGCACTCCACTAATACATTGAGGCTAATGGTTCAATCCCCAGTATGGGTTAAAACATTAGGAAGTTTCTTTAAGACACCTGCTGTCCATGTTCACCTATCAGTAAAATAGGAACCTGGGTGTTAGTCAACTGGTGTGGGTTGCGTCCTGGGGACAAAACTGACCTAATTTGCCTGAAATGTTCTGCATAACAAGGGGCTTTCTATATTTAGTAGTATGTCATTGATGTCAGCTAGGACTCTATACACTGTACATGTACTTGTAGAAATGAAGATTATTATTATTATTGATGCCCCCTCCAGGAAGGTGTCATGATGCTGGTGGTTGACTCTTGATCCAAGGAACTAGACTTCTGTTCCCTTTCTTTGGATGGAATCTGAATGCCTCCCATTCCTCCGGCACTATATGACCCCTACAAGTTTAATGCTTTCCCCCTATTAAAGCAAAATATAAAAATGTATCGACATTCTTCATTACATATAGGGTAAGCACTAAACCTGTAGGGATTGTAGAGTGCTTGGGGGAATGGGAGGCAATCAATTTTGATCCATGAAGAAGCCTTCACTATCAAGGAAACTTCCTTATGGAGGTATATGGCCAATTTATTACCATGCTGTATGGATGTATTTCTCTCAATACATGTACACAGTTTGCTTTAATCCCTATTTCAGGGATCAAAGTATATTAGTGTCTGTAGGCAAAAAAGTTACGTGCAGCATTAATGACCCTAGTGTAGTTGATAGACTTTAAACCCCATTAACCAACCAATCTGTAGGTATGCACTTAAAATTTTTAGCTTGCTCCCCTAGTGTCTCCCGATGGAAGTAAGTTACAGTAGCTTCTTTAGAGGTTAAATTTTTTTTATCAATTTACATCTGAGCTAAAATACTGAATAACATTTGCAAATTTTATGCTTAATTATCTTTTATTAAGTAAACACTTTGCCTTTATTTTTATACACCATGTGTTTTTTGTTTCAGATTATAAGGTATTGAATTAAACATCAAAATGGAGTCAACCACTAATGCACTTGTTAGTTATAACTCTCCTGGGGTATGTGACAAGCTCCCACAAGACCCGTCACCTGGGCCATTGCAAAACTGTTGTGAAGAAAGCACATTATCCCCAACAACTGACGCTAGCCTCCTTGATCCTTCAGAAGATATAAGTCAAAATGATTCTCCAGAAGTGAGTTGAATATTGATTGGTTAAGTTGATAATTATGAAATTAAGAAATTATGTTTTGAACTGCAGTAAACTGTCTTACAAATCTATTCTGGATAATGTGTTTTTTTTGTGTGTTTTTTTTTCTCAAATTGAATTTGAAAAAGCAGTCTCAAAATTGAATAGCATGACTCAGTTGAAAACACACTCGCCTCACACACTGAGTGTCTGTAGTTTGATCCCAAGCATGGGTGGAAGCATTGGGCATGTTTCCTAACACCTGCTGTCCCTGTTCACCTAGCAGAGAGTAGGTACCTGAGTGTTAGTTGACTGGTGTGGGCTGCATCCTGGGGGGACAAGATTAAAGAACCCCCAGTGGAAATAAGACATATGGTCCCTGATGATGCACTGACTTTTTTGGTTTATCCTAGATGGTTAACCCTCTGGGCTAAAAATCCAAACAAATCTTGTCTTATCCTACAAAGGCCTCTTCATGTTCTATTCAGTTTTGGATTCACTTTTTTTGTTGCATTTACAAAAAATGAACATTGGTGAAGAGCTTTTTAAGAGATCGATCTTATTATACTCTTTTTTGATATGTTAATCCCTATTATTTACTGGTACTTGATGTTGATGAGGAGTTTGTAGGAAATTATGTCTACCTACCTGGAGTCTACGTGGAGGGTATTGCAGGGATCAGCACCCCCATGGCTCAGTCCATCGACCAGGCCTTCCAGTGGATCATGGCCTGATCAACCAGGCTGTTACTGCTGGCCGCACATAGTCCAATGTACAACGACAGCCCGGCTTATCCGGCACTGACTTTAAGTATGTCTAGCTCCCTCTTGAAGGCAGCCAGGGACATATTGGTAATTTCCCTTATGATGGTGGGAGGCTGTTGAACAGTCTTAGGCCCTGGGCATTTATTGTGTTTTCTCTTAGTGTCCCAATGGCACCCCTACTTTTCATTGGGGATATTTTTCACCGCCTGCCCAGTCTTTTACTTTCATAAGGAGTGATTTCTGTGTGAAGATTCGGTACCATTCCTTGGATTTTCCAAGTATAGAATGTGATATATCTTTCTCACCTGCGTTCCAGCGACTACAAGTCAAGTGCTTCCAAGCGTTCCAGTAGTTGAGGTGTTTCATGGAACTTATATGTGTGGTAAAGGTTCTCTGTACAATCTCTGAATCTGCAATTTCATCTGCTTTGAACAGAAATGTTAATGTACAGCAGTATTCAGGCCTAGAGAGAACAAATGATTTGAAAAGGATCATCATTGGCTTGGCATCTCTTGTTTTGAACGTTTCATTATCCATCCTATCATTTTCTTTGGAGTTGTCATCGTGGCACTGTTGTGATTCTTGAAAGTGAGATCCTCAGACATTACCACTCCCAGGTACCTCACATTATTTTTTCGCTCTATTGTATGATCAGAGTTTGTAGTATACTCGGTTCTAATTACATATCTCCTCCAGTTTTCCATAATGGAGTAGTTGGAATTTGTCTCCATTGAGCATCATATTGTTTTCCATTGCCCACTGGAAAACTTGGTTTATATCTTCTTGGAGGTTAGCCGTGTCCTCAATAGATGACAGTCTCATGCAGATCCTAGTATCGTCTGCAAAGGATGACATGGTGCTGTGGATTACATCTCTGTCTATGTCTGATATGAGGATGAGGAACAGGATGGGGGCAAGTACTGTGCCTTGTGGAACAGAGCTTTTCACTATGGCAGCTTCTGATTCAACTCTGTTTACCATTACTTTTTGTGTTATATTGGTTAAAAAGTTAAAGATCCAACTCCCCACTTTTCCAGTTCTTCCTTTAGTACATATTTTGTGTGCTATTGCACCATGATCGCACTTGTCAAAGGCTTTTGCAAAATCTGTGTATATTCCATCTGCATTCTGTTTTTCTTCCAGTGCATCCAAGACCATATCAAAGCGATCCAGTAGTTGTGAGAGGCAGGAGCGACCTGCTCTGAACCCACGTTGCCCTGGATTGTGCAGTTTTTGGGAATCCAAGTGGTTTGCAGTCGTACTTCTTAGCGCTCTTTCAAAGATTTTTATGATGTGGGACGTTAGAGCCATTGGTCTATAGTTCTTAGCTAATGCTTTGCTGCCACCGGTATATCACCTTTATGGAGTGGGGCTATATCCGTTGTTTTTAGTGACTGTGGAATTTCACCCACGTAATATTATTCTAATCTTCTGTGCTTAATGGCTGCAAAAAGTCTTGTACATATATAGTACAGGTCGGCCATCACTAATCCTGCATCATTGGGACCTGTAGTGTGCCAGATAAGTGAGTTTGCTGGATTACAGAGTGGTTAGGTTAGAATACACTTAAATAACCTATCAATAGAGAGGCTTTCTGCTACATCTTTCTCATTTTCATCACTACTTTCTCCTCCACTGGCTTGCTGGCTGCTGTGGATTTACAACTATCTGCACAATTTCTGAGTCAGTGTAATGATGAAATTTGAGTAATTATAATGATGAAATTTGAAATTATGAAAGCCAAAATTAGTGCCAGTTTACTGATGGAACCAGATGACTGATTTCCGGATTAGTGATGGCCGACCTCTACATGACTGGTTCCATAGTTCCATTGTGCCCTTCAAATTTGCTCTTGTAACAAACACACAAACTCTGGGAGCAAAGTTGTTGCACTTATAAATACAGGAGGGTAGGCAGAACCTAACCTACTGTATAAGCGGAGCCCTTCTGTATACAAAGGGATCCAGTAATATATGAACATCAATAAGTTTGTTTGAATTAAGGGAAGCTGCAACTTAAACAATACTTTCTCAGATATAAAGGCATTTGGCAGTACTGGGATACATTATGACAATTACAGGTGAAGCAATGCCCAACCTCTCCAGGTGAGTCCTATATTAATAAATAACTAAACTGTCATATCAGCGTGCTTCGAGCAAGACAGTGATTGTGTAAGTGATGGTGAATGTGTTTCGTTTTTTTTTTTAGGTCACCTTGCCTAGGTGGGAGAAGGGCAGCATGTTAAATACCTAACGAAGTAATAGAAATCCATTTGGTATGGCATACTAATTTAACCTTCATTCACAATAACTATAAATGTAATAAAAATAATCCCATGCAGTTTATGGTATTTACCTCTACAATTGAAAGTGGGGCATAGCCATCGTCTGCATTCCTACATCTGCTTGAAGGTTCTTCAAATTATATTTTAATCTAATGGATATTAGTGCAGTTATACTTACTGGGTAGGTAATGTTACTTTTCAGCTACATATATTATTTCCCACTAAGGTAGCTTTTACCAAAGAAAGGAACACTTTCACAAACATTCATTCACTAGTTATCTTGCCAGAACTGCTCTGACAAAGCAATTGAAATGACTAAATTGCATCATCCCCATCCTAATTAATGGAAAATATGACACAAGAAAGACAGAATAAAAACAATAAGCCAAAATTTATTAGCAGTGGATTAATATCCTTCATCACCATTAAAATAATGAATGGAAATATTTTTTATATTGTAATTATAAAGGTACATGTACGGCAAAGAATGGATGGGGAGTTGTAGTATTTAGGTTTATTAGTTAAGAATTCACGGTTTTTGTCTTTTATGGTGACTATTATGCATATGTTAATACAGTGGAACCTCAAATATCGAACTTTCTTCGGTCCAGAAGGCTGTTCGAGTGCCTTTACCGAATGAATTTATTCCCATCAGGAATAAAGTAAATTAGATTAGTCCATTTCAGACCCTAAAAAATGCACTTATAAAAGCACTTACAAAATACACTTACATAATTGGTCGTGTTGGGAGCAGTTCGATTTTTGAGGTTCCATTGTACTAAATAGTGTGTATACACGTATATGTAGGATTTATATATATATATATTTTTTTTTTCAACAAACCAGCTGTATCCCAAGGCAGGGTGGCCCAAAAAGAAAAACGAAAGTTTCTCCTTTTAAATTTAGTAACATATGCAGGAGAAGGGGTTAGTAGCCCCTTGCTCCCAGCATTTTAGTCACCTCTTACGACACACATGGCTTACCAAAGGAGAATTCTGTTCCACTTCCCCATGTAGAAAAAATATATTGTACTGTACTTGTTAAAAAAATTTTTTTGCTTTTTTTTTTTTATATGTACAATTTAATACTACTGTACTGTACATGTTGAAACAAAATGATTTATTTTTATTTTTTTTCAGTGTCTTGTGAACCCTTCTCTTCCATCTGAACTTTGCGAGGCAGAATGTGTTGTGTTGCGTGGGGATGCCATTGGAAATACAGCCTATACTCATCGATGGGTTTTAAATACCCTTCTCAAAATTACACAGGTAAGGTTTAATAATAATAATAATCTTTATTTCTATAAGTATATGTACAAGGTATACAGGCCTAACTGATGTCAGTGACATACTACTATATAGAAAGCCCCTTGTTATGCAGAGCATTTCAGGCAAATTAGGTCAATTTTGTCTCAGGATGCAACCCACACCACTTGACTAACACCCAGGTACCTATTTTACTGATAGGTGAATATGGCCAGTAGGTGTCTTAAGGAAACACTTCCTAATGTTTCCAGCCATACCAGGGATTGACCCCTGGACTTCAGCGTGTGAGCTGACTGTGCTAGCAATTGAGCTACGGGAGTGTTAGATCAGAGTGTAACAAAGTGGTTTTAGAGATTTGATATGATGTTGGGGAGTGAGCAAGTTATCATTTATGAATATATTCTGGAAAACTGGTTAGCTGGACTTTAGTTCTAGAGGTGCCTGCACATTAAGGAATGGATGGGATGTTGCAGTTATAGATTCATTTTAATTGTTGTCCACGCACTTCTGGCAAGACAGCTGTTGAATGAACAGTGGTCGTGTTTCCATCTTTGTGGAGTTTCTCAACAACAAGAGAATGCTATAAAACTGCATGGTCATCTTGAGCTTTCTTTGGTTTGTAACATCTAAAACTGATAACTTTTTTGGTTATCTTAGGTAATTTACACACGTTACTATGTAAGATAATTATACGTACTTATGTGGATCTGTACCTAAATAAACTTCCTTAAAAAAATAAAAAGGATCTCTTTAAGGATAAAAAAAAAATTCAAGTATACACTATTAAAACCTTTCAAAGTTTTATGAAAGTAAGGCATTAGATGCAGGTGTATATGTTTAGACATGCCATGACAAAAAATATTCAAAAATTAAGGAAAAAGAAGAGGTAAAAATAACATGGGGGGGAAAAAGGGGGGTAAAAAGAAAGTTTTTTGAAGTAAGGACTTAGAAGCAGGGATGTGTTTAGAGATGTTAGGATGCAAGAAAGCATAATAAAAAGAAAAATATATTGGGTAAAGAAAAACAGGAGCAATTATCTGTATACAGTTGACCCTTGAACAACATGGGTTTAAACTGTGCAGGTCCACTCATATGAGGATTTTTCAATAAATATACTTGAATTTTTTTTGGAGATTTGCAACCAAAAAATTAATAAAAAGTTAGGTATGTTATGAATACAGGAAATATATATGGATACTAGTCTATTTTATCATTTACTGCCACAAAATATACACAAATTTATTATAAAAAGTTAAAATTTATCAAAATTTGAATACCAAACAATTATAAATCATACATATTACATTTGCAATCGACAGAAATGTCAACAAACGTAAAGATATGATATTAAATCATAAATAAATATGAATTTCTTCACATTATCTTTTCATTTTTGATATCTAGTGTTAGTAATACATATAACATCTAGTCTTTTTTTATCATACAAGACAATATTGATGTAGGTACTGACATACAGACAGTTCATCTTGTAAACAGATGACAAACTTACGGTATTGATTAGTACAGTACAGTACTGTAAATGTATTTTCTTTTCCTTATGATTTTCTTAATATCATTTTCTTTTCTCTAGCTTACTTTATTGTAAGAATACAGTATATTACCCCTGCATTGTTCAAGGGTCAGCTGTATTGTATTTAGATGAAAAAACAACTCATTTTTGTGCCCTCATTGAATTTTTTGCATGATTACAATATTGCACAGTGATGGCTTATGTATTGACAGTACAGTGTTTTTAGTATTAAATATAAGTTATGCACTAGAAAAATTGTGTACAGGGAACCAGAAGTTTTTGTCCGGGATTTTTACATTTTCTCCAAAGTTGGTGTTACTAATTCACCAAAGTTATTATGAAATAATTTTGTCTAATCATCAGTAGATAACAAACAAGGCCACATTCTCAAAATTTGCAGGTCAATCAGGCACTTTACTTCCCTCCTCCAGGACTCAAGTCTGGCTAACTAGTTTTCCTCATTCCATTCATACATGTTACCATACTCACATTCCAACAGCACATCAAATCATAAAAACCACTCACGGCTATATAATGTGGTTATACAAGCCTATTAGATGTCCTAGCACTCAAAAGCTCCTTTACTCCTTCCCTCACCAAATTTTAAATACTCTCCTGTATTCTTCTATCCTTAAATGTCCAAACTATCTCACAACCCTTTAGCCTCTGGATATACTTGGTGACTCCCACTATCTCCACTCTATCCGTAAATAACAAAAGCATCATCCGTGCTGGAACGATACACAAATACCCCATAAAGTCAGAAGCAACCGACGTTCGGTCGACTTGGACCTTGACAAGTCAACCGTGACTTTGTCAATGCCAAGTCGACCGAAAGTCGTCGTTAGCTTCTGTCTTTTATGTGCGGGTTATTTGTGTATCCTTATTCTCTGCATATTAACACCACACATTGTCCTCACTACTTAACTTCCTGTCTAAGGAAAAGTTGTGTCTTATATTGAATCTTTATGGTCTCTCTTTATTACAAGTCTTGAAAAAGCTAATGTAAACATTGGCCTGTATTTTTTTTCAGGCCAAAATGACACTTATTGGAAACCAATTATAGGATCGTATGATGCTGTGAAGAGGTGAAATACACATACCTATTTATTGCTTATTGACTTGAAACCCATTAAGGTCGTGTAACACTTGGGGAATGGGAAGCATTCAGGTTCAATCCAAGGAAAGGTAGGATATGTGCAGTTCCTTGGATCAATAGTTCCTTACCTATCTTGAGGGGACCAGTCATAAAATTATGTTCACTTTGTAATGAACCTCCATGTGAAATGTATATTATTTATAACATTAGTAGTTGAAGGGTTTGAGAAAACAAAATCTGCTTTAGAATAAACATTCTCATATTGATTACCAGCTAATGTGATTTTTAGTACTGTGCAATTTTTAACAAATCACTTTTGTATGCTATATTTTAGGCTCTACCCCACTATCTTACTACTGAAAAGACCATTGAGGACACAGTGAGGAATTGTCCAGAAACTATAATTGATGAAGGAATAAAAAATTCTGAAAATGAGGTAAGACTCTTGTACAGTATGGTACAGTAGAGTACTGTATAATCTATAAATCTGAAATGGTTGTGATGGGTTTTTATTAGTGCTGGGTTTTTATTAGTGCTGCTTGATTTTTAAGCATTGTTCATTTCTGGAACACGCATGTTTATCTGAATCTAAATAGTTTTTACACCTTCCATTCTCTTATATCCCTTTGTGACATTCCTGTGACCCAATTTTTTAATTCTTTTACCCACATAGCCTGTCTTGAGGCTAGACTTCCTTGTTAACTGCCTAATTAACCAGGCTGTTGCTGATAGTAGTCTGCAGGCCCACAGCATCATCATAACCTAGTTGATTTTGCACTTGAAGGAGATAAATTAGATAATAGTCCAATTTCCTTCTAGGAGAAAATTTCTACCTCTGTTTTGGCAACATTTCTTTTATCTGCTGGGACCTTGTTTCCAAGCTATTTTTAAAACCTTGATTCATTAAACACAGGCAGTTTGCCCTTGTGCTTCCCTGGTGGCTATTTTAGTAGCTAATTCTGACATAAGTGGCCTTTGTTTCAGCATGGCATGTAAAAAAGGAATTGGTTCCAAAATAATGTACTCAAATCATAAAGTGGAGTGGGAATGTAGGGTGATAAGTCTGTGAAAGATGTGGTGAACCATAGTGTAGATAAGGGGAGGGTGGACTTTGAACATTGCATTGAGGAGGAGGCTGAAGGCAGTGGGGATGTCATGTATGAGAGCAGTGTGTGGGTAAATATTAAGCAGAAAATTTTAGAACATGAAGATTAGATGATGTGGAGTTATAAAAAGTGTAATTCATAAGGCTGAGGAGAGGTTATTGAGATTATTTGAGTATTTAAAGAGGATGGAGCAGAGTAAGTGACTAAGAGGGTACAGTATATCATCTGGGGTGGAAGAGAGGAGTAGGAGTCATCCCAGGATGGGTTAGAAGGTTTTTGTGTGAAAAGGGCTTAAACATCCAACAGGCTTGTGTGTGCTTGTTAGATCACAGTAAGTGGAAAAAGTGGTTTTTATGGTTTGACACGCTGTTGGAATGCGAGCAAGGGATTCATGAAAACTAGTTAACTGGACATAAGTCCTGGTGATGGAAGTACAGTGCCTAAACTATAAGAGGGATGAGGATATTGTAGTTCAGAGGGCCATTTGATCTGTAATGTCAGCACAATTATGGTAAATCAGTGATTGAGTGAATGATGGTAAATGCATTTCTTATATTTTTGGCCACCCTACCTTGGAGGGAGACACGGTATGTTAGAAACGTCACTTGTAAACAAGTTAGTAATTACAGCTTCTCCTCACTTAATGATGGAGTTTCGTTCCTTAGACTACGTAGGTAAATGAATTCGTCGCTAAGTGAGGAGCATGCTATAATGGTAGTGGGTTTGTGTCAACCATCTTCCATATTGTTTTAATGTCACTTTTGCATCATTTATAACAATTCTGGTATATTTTTAAATGTTTATACAGCAGTGTACTGTACAGTGGACCCCCGACTTACGATGTCCTCAACCTGCGTTAAAACCGACTTATGATGCTTGTCAGCATAAAAATTTGACCCCGACATATGTTGAAAAACTCGACTTACATCATTCGTACCACGGTCAGCTGCTGCTGCACCACAGTCAGCTGTACTACTCGAAGATGTGGAGAGACTATTATTAATGTGGCTTATCGAGAATACTGAGAAACAATTAACCCCAGAGGGTTAGCCACCCAAGATAACCCAAGAAAGTCAGTGTGTCATTGAGGACTGTCTAACTTATTTCCATTGGGGTCCTTAAGTCTGTCCCCCAGGATGCGACCCACACCAGTTAACTAACACCCAGGTGAACAGGAAAAATGCCTGGAACTAATGCTCATATTGGTAAATTTAAGGCCAGCAAAGGTTAGTTTGAGAGATTTAAGAATCGTAGTGGCATACACAGTGTGATAAGGCCTGTTCTGAAAGAAAATGCCAAACAGGACCTACATTACTCAGGAGAAAAAGGCACTCCCAGGACATGGTGTCTCATCACTCATCACTACAGCTTCAATACAGGTAAGTGTCATTTATTCTTCATTTAGTACACTAGTACATGCACAATATATATTGTGCATGTATCCTTCTTTTTGTGTGTAGGAAAATGTATATTTCATGCGTTAAAAAAAAAATTTTTCATACTTTTGCGTGTCTTGAACGGATTAATTTGATTTCCAATATTTCTTATGGGGAAAATTAATTCGACTTACGATAATTTCATCTTATGATGTGCTCTCAGGAACGGATTAATATCGTAAGTCAGGGGTCCACTGTATATTGTAATAAACAGAATAGAGGAAATCAGCCCTAATATACATTATTTAGGTGTGCATACTGGTCAGAGACCCCGTCATAAGTCCGAGTCGTCGGTAAATAAGTACGTTGCTAAGTGAGGAGAGTGAGCTTCACCAGGTCATTAGAAAAAGTGTCACATGCAAGTTTATATCATTGAAGGTAGTCAGAAATTGCATCACTTACTAAACAACTGAACCAAATATTTTTGTTCAAATATTGTTATTTTCATATAGTCGGACTTGAGTCCTGGAAATGGGAAGTACAATGCCTGCACTTTAAAGGAGGGGTTTGGGATATTGGCAGTTTGGAGGGATATGTTGTGTATCTTTATATGTGTATGCTTCTAAACTGTTGTATTCTGAGCACCTCTGCAAAAACAGTGATAATGTGCGAGTGTGGTGAAAGTGTTGAATGATGAAAGTATTTTCTTTTTGGGGATTTTCTTTCTTTTTTTGGGTCACCCTGCCTCGGTGGGAGACGGCCGACTTGTTGAAAAAAAAAAAAATTGTAGGTTTTAAATTTAAAGTTTTAATGTAAACTATTTTAAAATCTGTGACTGTAGTAGTTTAAAGAAAAAACTAGCAAACATAATAGAGTTTAGGATATTGGCTGTTTGGAGTGACACCTAAACTGTCATATCTGCGTGCCTCTGCAAAGGTAGTGATATTGTGTGAATGATGGTAAAAGTGTTAAATGATAGTGAAAGTGTTTCTTTCTGTTTTTGGTCACTGCCTCAGTGGGAGACAGCTGATGTGTTAAAGAATAGACGTATAGTTTTAAAATTTTGCAGTTGCTTAAGAGTGTTGATGAGGGGAAAGATGATAGCATACTGGAGCTGGCTGAAGATGTAGAGAATGCTGCTTGCCAGCTGTGGGACATGACAGCAGAGCCAGATGTGGTGCATTATCTTCTCAGTCTGAGTGTCATAGACATCATGCAACTGGCTAAGGATATTATCACACAATCTCGTGCACCTAGACTAACTGTAAGTATTTAATATCATTCTAGATATTTATATCTTAATGTCTTTAGTGATGTTAAAAATTTTGTAATTTGATAATTTCACAGTAATACAAAAAATGAGTGACTGACAACCATTACAGTAATCTTTCATCTTGTGCAAGTTTGCTATATGCCAATTCATTTTCATGCAGTGTCCCTGTTTCTACCAGTATTTCCATATGCAATAAAAATTTACCCTTGTGCCATTAGTGTAATTTACCAAAGAAAAAGAGTGTAATCCTATAACTTGAATAGTGAATGGAATCCCCATTTGGACCTTGATATGTGTCTCAGGGGCCTGGAATACATCTGTTGCATAAAGCAAGAGGCATCTATTATCGTCCCATTCCTTGGATCAAACTTGATTATCACAATATGACCCCTATGAGTTTACTGCTTCACCCATCCCCTGATTATTACAAATAATAAAAATAATTACAAGGTAGCAAACCAGTATCATTATTCTGTGTCACATAAGCTCTTCAATTGGAACAATTCCAGTTGAAGAGGCCATTGCAACTAGTAAAAAAAAAATTATTACAGGAAGTTGTGGTTGGTGTTGTAGCCAACATATGCTGCCAGGCTGTTGGCTGCGAGAAAGTAATCGGTCATGAGTCACTTCTCAGCTCGTGTTTGACTCTTCTGTACACCACCGATGATGTGCCAACCCTTATTGAAGGTTTGAGACTCTTACGACTATTACTTTGGCACATCACATATCGTTTGGCACCACAAGAACGTTCACTCAGTCCAGTCATCCTTGCCCTCAAGAATCATGAATCACTCAAAGAAGCACTAGTGTTTATGCTTAAGAACAGTCTCAGTGGTAAGTAATTAAATGTTCATGGGAAGGGGAAGTTTGTTGCTTAGTCTTTCTTACACCCACTCTTGTCTCCTTTCTTTCATAAATTAAATTTAAGCTGATAGGTTGGATTTGGATATGATTAAGGTTTATTACTATATCTTAATCCTTTCAGTGGCTGTCATATAGATCTATGTTATTGATGCCAGGTTCCCTAACGTAGATCTGCATTTTAAGCACAGCTTTGTCAGATAAGCTGTGAGTGGTAAATTTTGGCCTAGATATGAGAGAATGGGTCTGTGCTGTGAATGTACACTATAAAAAAAATCTTGCCCCATGTGGTGCATGATGGGAAAGGCAAAATTCTGACCTTGTGTTTGATTTAAATTAGCGGGAAATGTTCAGTTTTTACTGATTTCCCCGAGGACTGGTAAGGCTTCTCTACACAACTTGGTCTGTTTTATGGTACAGTGGAACCTCAGTTTTCATGATTAATTTATTCCAGAAAGTCTGACGAAAACCGAATTGTACAAAAACTGAAGCAATATTTCCCCTAAGAAATAACGTAAATCCAATTAACCCTTTCAGGGTCCGTCCCGTAGATCTACGGCTTTACGTTAAGGGTCCAAACCGTAGATCTACGTCATGAGCTCAGCTCACTCTGATAAACTGTGAGTGGTACATTTGGGCCTAGATATGAGAGAATACATCTATGTGGTATGTGTGTACCACATAAAACAGATCCTGCAGCACACTGTGTATAATAAGAGAAAAAAAACTGAAATCATGATTTTTCGATTAAAACAGCGACTTTGCAGTGTTTTTTCGTATGTTTTTTATAGTTGTATTTGCGATTTCTTGGTCTCATTTGATAGAATGGAAGACATATTACAGAAATAGAGATGATTTTGATTGGTTTTAGCACTGGAAATGGCTTGAAACTGAGCTCAAAGTAGCAGAAATGTTAAATTTTTGCCGATATTCAAGAGTAAACAAACGACCTCACACGTCTAATACACACCAGCTGGTGGGTCTGATATGCATTCACAAATATGGTGATGATATTTATACAATTATTACAGTATTGCATAACAGTAAATCTTCTATTTTTTGGTGTGAATAAAAATTCATTATGTGAATAAAAAATCAAAATGAAATTTATTTGTAAAGCCTCAAAACGTAACTAATGAGCAGAGGAAATGTTAGTTTAGTTCCAGGAATACCTACATTGTTTATTCTGGACCCTATTTTGAAATTGGAATATTTTGAACTTTGTGTTAAATTGGCCAAATTAACAATTTCCGATCACTTTAATTTGTAGTTGAAACAGTTGACTTGGCGAATTCTTATGCTCAATCGATAGAAGTAATACTAGTGAAATAGCTAAGAATTTGGTCGACTGGAATAATATAATTGGCCTAAAATGGGAGTCAAAGTCGGCAAAATCGCCGATTTGTAAATATCACTGACACACCAAAATTCGCGAGAGCATAATTTCGTCAATTTTCCATCAAATTTTGTACTTTTTGTTTTATTACCTTCACAAAAAGATTCTCTACCATTTCATAAGAAAAAAATAAAAAATTTTTTTTTTTTAAATTCTTGGACACTGGGGCACCACTTCAGATTCGGGCCTTGGACCCTGAAAGGGTTAATCTGTTCCAGACACCCATAAATATTGATAAAAAATATATTTTATAGAGAATATAGTTTTACATACAGAAAACAATGAGAAATAAATATAAATGACTAAAGAAATGGATAAATGAACATTTAGCATCATTTTTACCTTTATTGAAGACTCTTGTTGGCGTATGAAAGACAGTGAGGAGGGGAGAGGGAGGAGGAGAGGTTATTATTTAGAAGGGGAATCCCCCTCCATAAGGACCCCAGGTATCAAAGCCCTATCTGGGGTTACTTCCCTTCTTTGTCTTTCGCTGGCACTATGTCTTTCGCTGGCACTAGGACCAGCTTGAGAGTCACTGGACCCCTGTAGCACAAAAAATCTGTCCAGAGAGGTCTGTTTCTGGTGTCTCTTAAGATTCGCCTAAAATGGGACAAGGCATTGTCATTGAACATGTTGCAGACAGAGCTTGCAACAGCTTTGTTAGGGTGATATTTCTCTACAAAACTTTGCAACTCGTTCCATTTTGCACACACGTCTTTAATCACTGAAGAAGGTACATTCTCCCCCCACTCTTCCTCCTCCTCTGAAGCAATTTCCTCACCTGCAGTCTGTTGCTGTTCCAGTTGAAGGTCTTGCAGCTCTTCAGTGGTTGGCTCTTCCCTGTGGTTGTCCACCAACTCTTCCACATCCTGGCCACTCGCATCCAACCCCACGGACTTCCCAAAAGACACAATAGATTCCACAATAGGCATAGGGTCATCAGGGTCAGCCTCAAACCTTTCAAAATCCTTCTTGAGGACACATTCTGGCCCACACATTCTGTGTGGGCGCAGGGAGGCAGATGCATTCAGTATGGTGGACCATTGTCAACTCTACAAAAAACAAGCGGATGTACGAAAACTGGTTAAAAATTTTGCGAAAACCAAAATCCTATGAAAACCAGGGCTTACGAAAACTGAGGTTTCTCTGTAATTATTGGGACACTGTCAACCATGACCAATCATTCTTGGCTATACAGTGGACCCCCGCTTAACGATCACCTCCAAATGCGACCAATTATGTAAGTGTATTTATGTAAGTGCGTTTGTACGTGTATGTTTGGGGGTCTGAAATGGACTAATCTACTTCACAATATTCCTTATGGGAAAAAATTCGGTCAGTACTGGCACCTGAACATACTACTGGAATGAAAAAAGTTCGTTAACCGGGGGTCCACTGTATTTTATTATCCGAGAAATAGTGTAAATCTTCTGTATTTTTTGTGTGATGAATTCAAAATGGAAGGCAAGTGTAATATAGAAGAGGCCTGGGGACATGATTAATGAATAGAGGAAATGTTATTTTAGTGCCTGGAATGTCTACAGTGTTTATTTTGGACTCAGTTTATTAATTGGATTTTTTTTATTTTTGTTTAAAATTAGCCAAATTTCTGTCTGTGCACTTGATAGTCGACTAGGCATTTTTTGTGCTTAGTTGATAGAACGGAAGGCATACTAGCAAAATAGCTAAGGGGTGAAATTACCAATGCTTAAATTGTGCCCAGACTGCTAACTTTACATAATTCCATAAGTTTTCATCAAATCTCATACTTGTGTGTCAGTGCCTTCAGAAGAAGATTCACTACCATTGCTGGACAGTGACAGATTAGGTTAGATTTCTAAGTTAGTTTTTAATGGAAATTTAAATAATTTCCATACCATATTAATTCATATGAATATATCTATCAACACATGAGGTAACATTTTCAACAAAATTATTTTTTAAGCAGCTTGGCCCAGGGATGTAATAGTGTACTGTGAGCAACATAATGTATGTGAAGGGATTCAAGGAAAATTGGTTATCTGGACTTGGGTTCTGGATGTGGTAAGTACAGTACCTTCTCTCTGTGGGTTCTGGATGTGGGAAGTACAGTGCCTTCTCTCTGTGGGTTCTGGATATGGGAAGTCCAGTGCCCTCTCTCTGTGGGTTCTGGATGTGGGTAGTCCAGTGCCTTCTCTCTGTGGGTTCTGGATATGGGAAGTACAGTGCCTTCTCTCTGTGGGTTCTGGATATGGGAAGTCCAGTGCCTTCTCTCTCTGAGTTCTGGATATGGGAAGTACAGTGCCTTCTCTCTGTGGGTTCTGGATGTGGGAAGTACAGTGCCTTCTCTCTGTGGGTTCTGGATGTGGGAAGTACAGTGCCTTCTCTCTGTGGGTTCTGGACGTGGGAAGTACAGTGCCTTCTCTCTGTGGGTTCTGGATGTGGGTAGTCCAGTGCCTTCTCTCTGTGGGTTCTGGATATGGGAAGTACAGTGCCTTCTCTCTGTGGGTTCTGGATATGGGAAGTTCAGTGCCTTCTCTCTGTGGGCTCTGGATGTGGGAAGTACAGTGCCTTCTCTCTGTGGGTTCTGGATGTGGGAAGTACAGTGCCTTCTCTCTGTGGGTTCTGGATGTGGGTAGTCCAGTGCCTTCTCTCTGTGGGTTCTGGATATGGGAAGTACAGTGCCTTCTCTCTGTGGGTTCTGGATGTGGGAAGTACAGTGCCTTCTCTCTGTGGGTTCTGGATGTGGGAAGCACAGTGCCTTCTCTCTGTGGGTTCTGGATATGGGAAGTCCAGTGCCCTCTCTCTGTGGGTTCTGGATGTGGGTAGTCCAGTGCCTTCTCTCTGTGGGTTCTGGATATGGGAAGTACAGTGCCTTCTCTCTGTGGGTTCTGGATATGGGAAGTCCAGTGCCTTCTCTCTCTGGGTTCTGGATGTGGGAAGTACAGTGCCTTCTCTGTGGGTTCTGGATATGGGAAGTACAGTGCCTTCTCTCTGTGGGTTCTGGATGTGGGAAGTACAGTGCCTTCTCTCTGTGGGTTCTGGATGTGGGAAGTACAGTGCCTTCTCTCTGTGGGTTCTGGATGTGGGAAGTACAGTGCCTTCTCTCTGTGGGTTCTGGACGTGGGAAGTACAGCGCCTTCTCTCTGTGGGTTCTGGATGTGGGTAGTCCAGTGCCTTCTCTCTGTGGGTTCTGGATATGGGAAGTCCAGTGCCTTCTCTCTGTGGGCTCTGGATGTGGGAAGTACAGTGCCTTCTCTCTGTGGGTTCTGGATGTGGGAAGTACAGTGCCTTCTCTCTTGGGTTTCTGGATTGTGGGAAGTACAGTGCCTTCTCTCTGTGGGTTCTGGATGTGGGAAGTACAGTGCCTTCTCTCTGTGGGTTCTGGATGTGGGGAGTCCAGTGCCTTCTCTCTGTGGGTTCTGGATGTGGGAAGTACAGTGCCTTCTTTCTGTGGGTTCTGGATGTGGGAAGTACAGTGCCTTCTCTCTGTGGGTTCTGGATGTGGGCAGTACAGTGCCTTTGCTCTGAGGGTTCTGGATGTGGGCAGTACAGTGCCTTCTCTCTGAGGAATGGTGGGAAAGTCTCACTTTATGGGTCATTTGGCTCACAATATCTTTACTTCTGGAAATAAAGCTAGGAAATTAGTGATGGTGAATGTGTTTTCCCTATTTTGGGTCATGCTACTTTGCTAGGAATCAACTGCCATGCTAAAAAATGGAATACGGTAGACTGTAGAATAATTTGTATTCTTTTTAATCACACAGGCAATTTTCCATTAAGGTAGAGTTATTGTCATGATGCCCATGTTCACACCCAATCCTCACTAAGAATATTAATTTTTTTTTTTTTGTTCCAGACTTACTGCTTAGTGCTCTCTGTGAATTCCTTGAGGCACTTATGTATATCTGGCTTCCCAGTGATCAGTGCTATATGGCTGCCTACTACTCAGAATCTGGTTAGTTTTTAATTGATTCATCACATTATTATATATACTGTTTTTCATTAGACTTACACATGGAGGATGTTTTGTGTCATCCTGCAAGGAATGTTGGACCATTCAAACATTCCATGCAGGAATGTTAGGATGATAATCCAGCCTCTTACTTGATTCACCTTATCATCAGAGAGTATGACAAATTCACTTCAAGTACCCCCTTCTCTACCCTGACACAAAGTAAACCCTCGATATAATGTGTGTCTGTTAAATCACGATAATGTTCAAGATAGCAAAAAAAAAAAAAAAAAAAAGGCACTAAAGTACTTTACTGTGCTTACATCTTACATTTTTTTTTTTTTTTTTTAACAAGTCAGCCATCTCCCACCGAGGCAGGGTGACCCAAAAAAGAAAGAAAATCCCCAAAAAGAAAATACTTTCATCATCATTCAACATTTTTACCACACTCGCACATTATCACTGTTTTTGCAGAGGTGCTCAGAATACAACAGTTTAGAAGCATATACATATAAAGATACACAACATATCCCTCCAGACTCCCAATATCCCAAACCCCTCCTTTAAAGTGCAGGCATTGTACTTCCCATTTCCAGGACTCAGAGTCCGACCTATATGAAAATAACCGGTTTCCCTGAATCCCTTCACTAAATATTACCCTGCTCACACTCCAACAGATCGTCAGGTCCCAAGTACCATTCTTCTCCATTCACTCCTATCTAACACGCTCACGCACGCTTGCTGGAAGTCCAAGCTCCTTGCCCACAAAACCTCCTTTACCCCCTCTCTCCAACCCTTTCGAGGACGACCCCTACCCCGCCTTCCTTCCCCTATAGATTTATATGCTTTCCATGTCATTCTACTTTGATCCATTCTCTCTAAATGACCAAACCACCTCAACAACCCCTCTTCTGCCCTCTGACTAATACTTTTATTAACTCCACACCTTTTCCTAATTTCCACACTCCGAATTTTCTGCATAATATTTACACCACACATTGCCCTTAAACAGGACATCTCCACTGCCTCCATATATGCTGCAAAAAACATTTAACTTCATTTTCAAAGTACTTTTTTGCTAGTGAAGTTTACCCAGAATTTTCAAAGCTTCATATTGAGTGTTTACTGTGCTTGCTTAGTCTGCCTTTCTCTCTGACAGCCCCACATGCTATGCAGACTCACTATTATGTACAATACAAATAACCTGAACATAGGAGAATGAAACTTATGACAATGTTCCATTCTCCTATGTGCATGTTACTTGTATTGTTCCAGTCACAGTATTTTTTTTTTTTTTTCAACAAGTTGGCCGTCTCCCACCGAGGCAGGGTGACCCAAAAAAGAAAGAAAATCCCCAAAAAGAAAATACTTTCATTATCATTCAACACTTTCACCACACTCACACATTATCACTGCTTTTGCAGAGGTGCTCAGAATACAAGAGTTTAGAAGCATATACGTATAAAGATACCCAACATATCCCTCCAAATTACCAATATCCCAAACCCCTCCTTTAAAGTGCAGGCATTGTACTTCCCATTTCCAGGACTCAGAGTCCGACCTATATGAAAATAACCGGTTTCCCTGAATCCCTTCACTAAATATTACCCTGCTCACACTCCAACAGATCGTCAGGTCCCAAGTATCATTCGTCTCCATTCACTCCTATCTAACACGCTCATGCACGCTTGCTGGAAGTCCAAGCCCCTCGCCCACAAAACCTCCTTTACCCCCTCTTTCCAACCCTTTCGAGGACGACCCCTACCCTTCTTTCCTTCCCCTATAGATTTATATGCTTTCCATGTCATTCTACTTTGATCCATTCTCTCTAAATGACCAAACCACCTCAACAACCCCTCTTCTGCCCTCTGACTAATGCTTTTATTAACTCCACACCTTCTCCTAATTTCCACACTCCGAATTTTCTGCATAATATTTACACCACACTGCCTCCAACCGTCTCCTCGCTGCTGCATTTACCACCCAAGCTTCACATCCATATAAGAGTGTTGGTACTACTATACAGTATTGTGCCTTTTTATTCTTTTATCATTCTTAAATAACATAAATGTAAACTGTGAAACCCCATCCTCGCACTTTCCTTGTTGCTGATGTCATTTCCTCAACGCCACCTCTTCACCTCTATCATCTTTTTTGTTTCAACCAAGTAGTGGACAGGTCCACTCCCAAATATCTGAACATATTCACTTCATTCGTAGTTCCTCCTTCCAGTCTGATATCCAGTCTTTCATTATCTAAATTTTATGTTACTTTCATCACCTTGTTCTTTCTTATGCTTCCTTTTAATTTCCCTTTTACATGCCCTCCCAAATTCGTCCACCAGCCACTTATTATTATTTTATTATTATTCTGTCAGTGAGTATCTTTGACAATGCCTCTGGATACCCAGACATGAAGTCTGTCTCTGATTCATCCTCTTTAAACATATGTAGTGCACTTATATTTGTTTGGTAGAGACCAGTAAAAAATGTGAATTTAATAATTGTAATTTTGTTAAAACTGAATATAAATATTGCATTTTTTTCATTTTTTCACCTTATTCATTGACATTTTGTGTATGTTTGATATGCATGTGTGGTGGGCTCATGTATTTACAGTATAGATTTAACAACTACATTGGTCTGTTGGGTGGTGGAAGGAAGTTTCTCTTTTCCGTGATCAGTGGTTGGTGTGTGGCAGCTCAGCTTGCATCACAACCCTCTTTTTCCCTTACAATAGCCCAAGCAGGCAATTACCCTTACTACAACCTTCCCACACCATACACCAAGGCACCTAATACCCTTACCATAACAGTGAGAGGGCAGAGAGCATATGCTAAGTCTTGTGTCAGATACAAAGGCACAGAGGGAAGCAGGCCTGTTACTGCCCATGCCTCATGCTTCCTTCACTACTTATTACATTAGGTTCCCTTTACAGTACATGGTTTTGGCATGTGCATTGTGGGCCACGAATGTTTTTGTCGCATAAAGCTAGGGGACCCCTTGTAGAAAAGCTCACTGTGGAGGACTAGTCATGGACCAGGTCACAAGGGCTTTGGCCCTGCAATCACTTTCCAGGTAGACTCAAAATCATAACACAATTGTAAGCAAATCATGGAATAGGTGGGGTTTAAACCCATGACAAGTAATTTTTAGGGCTCACTTGCCATGGGTTCAAACCCCATCCATTCTGTAATTCATTTCTAGGTAGATTTCAGGTTGGTTAGCCTAGGCATACTTGTGAACACACCATTGTACACTGCACCTACATTAATTTAAGTGTCTCATGAACTGTTTGCATACATTCGTGTATCATAGTAAATTAAGGCTGTGTTGTTCACAATTATCACACTGGTAACTATAATACATTTTGTATTGTAATTCAGTGAGATGGATTATCACCAAACTGACTGTAGAGACTGAGCAGCAATTAACACAAGGAATCAACCTTTTTTTTTTTTTTTTTTTTTTTTTTTTTTTTTTTGCCACTATAGTAACAGTTGTAATTGTTTCAGGCTTGGTTGAAGGTGTTGTTGAAGTTATGAGACACTTCTTAAAGGAATGGGAGAAAAGTGGTCGTCAAGAACAGCCTCGTGAAGTTCATCAAGGGATTCTTATTCTCTACAGCTTTATGGCCACACCTGCAGTCCATATAATTAGTAAGTTTTATATTTATTACTGGTGGTTTATATAGACATTTTCTTTTTCTGTATATTGCATATTACTATATTTTCTGTGATGCCAGATGTGATATCAACAGTCTGAAATTCACCCTGCTTACAATACTGTCAGTAATTGTTACTAAGGAATGTTTATTCAAAGTTATTTTGGCTGAAAAATGTGATAATGGCAAGATAAGAGAGCTCATGTTCTCCGTTTCATATACCTTGAACATATATGTAATCAGTATATTCAGTTTAAAAAAATAACAGCATGCTGTTTTCCACAAGCTTTCGTATTACAGTAGTGATGGTGTACTGTATTATCCATGAACTGAGTTTGCAGATCTGAAACCCAAATTTGATTACCTGCTAGCTTTGCTCCTGGATTCATGATCAGCAGTACTATTATGTATTACCTGTCTTTAAGATGATCTAGAGTGCAAAATGTTCAACTTATACTGAGTTAGGTGGCAATGGGGGTTAAGAACATATCTCCATTTTCCCTCTAAAATCTGCTTGATATACATAGATTCACTCTCCGAGACCTGCTTGTGGAATGCCTCTCTTGCAGATATGCATGAAATGATGTGCAGTACTGATAAGGGATAAGTAGTAGGAATATATATTCTTCAAAATTAATTAACCCTTAAACTGTCCAAGCAGATCTACATTCACATGCGTAGTGCTCCAAAAGTAGATCTACTTTTTTTTTTACATATTTTCAAATATAACTTTTTAAAAAAAATGTAGATCAAAGTTTTTTTACACGTTTTCAAAAGTAAAAAAAAAAAAATCTACTTTTTTTTTTACATACTTTCAAATGTTGAAAAAACGTAGATCTACGTTTGGACAGTTTAAGGGTTTAATAAGAACATTTGGCAAAGTGAGTGATGATGCAAGAGGAACCTGTGGAATGAAGAAATAAATGGGTTTTATAAACATTAGATATTTTATAGAACTAAGTGATTAGTGGAGTAAAAGAGAGGAGAGGCCAAGAACAAGGTGAAGTGATTCTGCATGCATGCATAAATATAAGTGTCTGTGTAAGTGTAAAATTTCCTATTTGTAGTGTACCTGTGTGAATGCCATGCTTGTTTAACTCGTGTATGGTTTATCAAAAGTGAAAATTTACAGTATTAAGACATGTTGCAGAACAGGCTTTTATCTGGATAGTTCTGCTTTTTTTTTTGTACACAGGTACACTACAAATAGGAAATCTGCTTTGTATAAACCTTTATTGATAAATTATTATTACTACATTCATAGGGAATACTAAATCCAAAGGTGCTGGGGCAATGAGAGGCATTTAGATTTGACACAAGGAAGGGGAGGGCAGGCACAATTCCTTGGACCATAAGTTCCTCACCAGCATCAAGGAACTCCCCTTGAGATTAAAACGAAATAAAGCTGGTTCTACAATATAGGTACACGACTCATGAAATCGTAATTACACGGTCTGGAGTTTTGAGACTCTCTGATCGCGGGTTCTATCCCCACCCGTGGTATGGTTTCTTTACAATATGGGTCTTTCCTTCAGTTTGTTGGCAGTGTGCCATTTGAATCCAATGACAGTTATAGTTTTACCGGACAGTTCATGCATAAAATGTTTGAGTATGTATTCCTCTAATTTGCACAAGATTGTACAAGAATTTAAGCAGTATTAAGTCATTAAGCTTGAACTGCATGTTTTAATTAGCAGTACCCATAAATGGTGCTGATAAAAAGCACTTAAGAAAATTTTTGATTAAATATTCTCCCTTTGAGGCAAATGATGTATATTAAATTTTAATGTAAGAAGGAAAATTTTGTCATATATACTTGGCTATTTTCAAACATGATGTTCTGCATACGTGTATTTCTATAGAAGACTTTTCATTGCATATACGAGTTCACATTAAACTGTTCTATAAACATGATTTTCATTTAAAAATTTTAAACTATATTTCATAATCTTCAGGCAGTTTTGACCAGTACGAGTCCCTCCTTGAGCCAATCTTGGTAAGGTACGTACAACACTTGGCCAAGGTGGAAAGTGTAGAGGAAATATTGTCGGAAGACAATGCAGAGAGACTGACATATGCACTGGGCCTCTGTGAGCTGCTTGTGCCAACAATGAGACATCCCAACATATTGCTCTCTATAGGCAAGCTGTTGGCCCTCACCCATGGAGCCAGTCATCACTACACTGCCATTCAAAACCAGGTAAAGGGGATAAAAGAGAGTGCAAAAATTATAGGGGGATAAGTCTGTTGAGTGTACCTGGTAAAGTGTATGGTAGAGTTATAATTGAAAGAATTAAGAGTAAGACAGAGAATAGGATAGCAGATGAACAAGGAGGCTTTAGGAAAGGTAGGGGGTGTGTGGACCAGGTGTTTACAGTGAAACATATAAGTGAACAGTATTTAGATAAGGCTAAAGAGGTCTTTGTGGCATTTATGGATTTGGAAAAGGCATATGACAGGGTGGATAGGGGGGCAATGTGGCAGATGTTGCAAGTGTATGGTGTAGGAGGTAGGTTACTGAAAGCAGTAAAGAGTTTTTACGAGGATAGTGAGGCTCAAGTTAGAGTATGTAGGAAAGAGGGAAATTTTTTTCCCAGTAAAAGTAGGCCTTAGACAAGGATGTGTGATGTCACCGTGGTTGTTTAATATATTTATAGATGGGGTTGTAAGAGAAGTAAATGCGAGGGTCTTGGCAAGAGGCGTGGAGTTAAAAGATAAAGAATCACACACAAAGTGGAGTTGTCACAGCTGCTCTTTGCTGATGACACTGTGCTCTTGGGAGATTCTGAAGAGAAGCTGCAGAGATTGGTGGATGAATTTGGCAGGGTGTGCAAAAGAAGAAAATTAAAGGTGAATACAGGAAAGAGTAAGGTTATGAGGATAACAAAAAGATTAGGTGATGAAAGATTGAATATCAGATTGGAGGGAGAGAGTATGGAGGAGGTGAATGTATTCAGATATTTGGGAGTGGACGTGTCAGCGGATGGGTCTATGAAAGATGAGGTGAATCATAGAATTGATGAGGGAAAAAGAGTGAGTGGTGCACTTAGGAGTCTGTGGAGACAAAGAACTTTGTCCTTGGAGGCAAAGAGGGGAATGTATGAGAGTATAGTTTTACCAACGCTCTTATATGGGTGTGAAGCGTGGGTGATGAATGTTGCAGCGAGGAGAAGGCTGGAAGCAGTGGAGATGTCATGTCTGAGGGCAATGTGTGGTGTGAATATAATGCAGAGAATTCGTAGTTTGGAAGTTAGGAGGAGGTGCGGATTACCAAAACTGTTGTCCAGAGGGCTGAGGAAGGGTTGTTGAGGTGGTTCGGACATGTAGAGAGAATGGAGCGAAACAGAATGACTTCAAGAGTGTATCAGTCTGTAGTGGAAGGAAGGCGGGGTAGGGGTCGGCCTAGGAAGGGTTGAGGGAGGGGGTAAAGGAGGTTTTGTGTGCGAGGGGCTTGGACTTCCAGCAGGCATGCGTGAGCGTGTTTGATAGGAGTGAATGGAGACAAATGGTTTTTAATACTTGACGTGCTGTTGGAGTGTGAGCAAAGTAACATATATGAAGGGATTCAGGAAACCGGCAGGCCGGACTTGAGTCCTGGAGATGGAAGTACAGTGCCTGCACTCTGAAGGAGGGGTGTTAATGTTGCAGTTTAAAAACTGTAGTGTAAAGCACCCTTCTGGCAAGACAGTGATGGAGTGAATGATGGTGAAAGTTTTTCTTTTTCGGGCCACCCTGCCTTGGTGGGAATCGGCCAGTGTGATAAAAAAAAAAAAAAAAAAAAAAAAAAAAAAAAATTCTGTATTATAGTTTTTGGCATGAGAGAGTATATTATTATTATTATACTCAAAAAGAAGCACTAAACCTACAAGGGTCATACAGCACAATGGGAGACTATAGTGCTGTATACTGTACATATAAAAACTCCTAATAATTTATAATAAATGTTATTATAAATAGGAGGATTTTGAGCTGACTGAAATACCATTTCCTCAGGTGCTATGTGACCCCTACTGGTTTAGCACTCCTCCCATGAATGTAAGAGTAATAAGGAATAACACTGACTAAAAAAATTAATTTCTGTATAATTGGCCTCAGAATGTCATACCTCATTCACACCAGTACTTACTGTGTCGAACCCCTTAGGCCTATCATGTAGTGAGCTACCTTCACCACTTTCTGCATTTCATGCTTATCATATTTTGCACCATACAGGATTTTGTCTTTTAAATCTGACCCTCAAAATCACCCTGCATCCTACACGGTGAGTTTCAGGCTTGGGATCTATGGTAAGGATCCCCTCCCCACCAAACCTATGAGACAATCAGAAACAAACATTTGGACACTTGGCTCCTTTCCTTTAATCAAAAATAGGCTATTCTAATCAAGTGTTAGTTTGTTGGAGTACAGCTGATGACTTTGGTCCTATGTAGAGGCTGCAGTTGCAGCACCCCTCCTGCCATTGGGGGCTGCAGCATGCATGGAGACTTCTTTGTTTCTTATCCCTTAAAATTGTCTAGCCTAAACTTACCCATCCAGGGAAAAAGTCTTTATGCTGTGAAAGGCTCTTGATCCAAGAAATTGGACATGCCCTTCCTCTGAACCAAACCACCTTATCTTACATTTCCCCTGCCCTATGAATCTTATAGGTTCAGTGCTTCCTCCTGCATGTAATAACAGAAACTTAAATAACTCAGAATTGCAGAACCCATACAAGAAATAAATATTTAGTGAATCTAAATAGGATTAATATTATATTAAAATTTGTGCCTGTAAGGATCATACAGCACCCTGGGACTAAGTTGTGATGGTTCCACTTTAATTGCAGACTTATTTCTCATATAATATCAGTTTGCTATTCAGCTGGGATAATGTCTGTTTGCCAATGACCTTGCAATGCCTTCACCTCTCCCCCCCCCCCTTTTATTTTTTTAACCTTGTACTGCTACATGGCCCATATAAGTTTAATCTATGATTAATAATGATAAGATTTATTATCATACAGTGCTAAACCTATATGGGTCATACAGCATAATAAGTCTTAAATGTTAAGCAGGTAAGAATTTCTTGATAGTTTATATGATTCTTGTTTTAACTTTGAATGTTTCTCACCAGACTTTGCTAGCAGGCAACCTAGAAGATGATGACAATAATCAGACCTCAAAAATACGTCACAGGAGACTCAGCAGAAGTAGGAGCAGGAGGAGTAGAAATTCAAATGAAGAAACTATGGAAACTGATATTTCTGTAGTTCTAGAAAAGAAAGAATCAGAAGAAGAGGTAGTAGATAGAATGCATCGCAGGAGACTCAGCAGGAGTAAGAGCAGGAGTAGTAGGAACTCAAAAGAAGAAATTATGGATACTGATATTCCTATAGTGATGGATAAGGAAAGAGAATCAGAGGAAGTAGATAGCAGTATTTCCAGCAAAGAGCTTGAGGGCATAGAAGTAACTCAGGCATCTTTATTGGTGGAAAAGAAGGAAAAGGAACCAGAGCAAGAAGGGGTATATAGAATGCGTCAGAGGAGAATAAGCAGAAGTAAGAGCAGGAGGAGTAGACACTCAAATGAAGAAATGGAAACTGATAATGCTGTAATGATGGAAAAAAAGGAAATGGAGAAAGAAAAAGTAGGAATAGATAGCAGTATTTCCACCAGAAAGATTGAGGGCATAGAAGCAACTCAGAAATTATCTCAAAAGTTTAAAAGTGATGATTTGCTTGTCTACACAACTGCAAAAGAGAACTGTAAAAGTTCATTATTACAAAATCATGAATGCAAGGAAGTTAAGAGTGCTAACAGCAGTTGTGCTTTGAAAGTTTCTGATAATTACATTGGTAGAGATGATACTTCAGCAAAGAAAAATACAAGTGCTAAACTAAAGAGCACAGTTGAAAACTTGATTGATTATTGTGTCCGTGTGGTACGTTGCTGCCCTGACTTAAATGCAGTGTTGACAGCACTAAATGAGTGCCATGCTCATGAAGTACAGTTGTTCTTTAGAGCTGTACGTTCCAGAGAGCCTAAGCTTGTTGGTCAACTTCAAGAGCAGTTGCTGGATACAGGATCTCACAATCGCCTGGTGACCATATTGTCTGATATGTACACTTGACAAAATATTTTTTGGTGCAAAAGTATGACAATATAGGAGCTTTACCAGGCAGAGAATAAAACTCTGGTATTTGTTAGTCTACTCTCATCAGTAGTCCATGAGAATAATGGATGACTTCATGAGCTGTATACTAAGTGATTGCTTTGCTGAAATCCTACAACAATTACAGAAGGCAAAATTGTGTAAAGGAAGTATCAAGAAAATAAATTACTTAAGTAATTTATTTAATACTACCAAGATCATGTACCAAGTGGAGAATGAAGGTGACTGAATTGGCTAATCCTCAGTAATATTGTACATGTATGTAAGATGTGTTTTTATGCAAGAAACTGCCACTAGCTAGAACAAATGTAGAATGTAAGGCATTGTGAAAATAGCATGAATAACCCAAAAATAGTAATGTGAATAGTAATATAATGGACATTAGTAATTCATGTAGGCTACGCTCCTGAAAACTGTGCTACCCATGATTTCTGTGACTCATAGTGGAAAAACATGAGAAAAAGAGAGTTGCATTCCTCGGACCTCCAAAATTAAAAAAAAATTACTATCATAATTCTTTGAAAATTAATACTTTCTACCTCATTTTATCATTGGCAGTGCTCTGTGAAATACCTAAACTATAGTGAGGTTCAGGTAGTGAAAAAGAAGAGTACATGTAGCTAAAAACAAAGTTACATTAATACTGTAAGTATTTATTACTTACCGTCCAGTTGGGGTTGGTGATGCTCAACATCCTGGAGTGGAAAGGGTGGCTATGGCCTACTGGGCCCAAGTTGAATTGGTTCTCTGTCATCATACACTCGTGCCATCTCCATGACACATGCAGCACCCTTCAGCATCACATTTACCTCCACTTTTTCGAAATAGGGGTAGTTTCACACTTAATTTTAGCTCTTGCTTCAACAACATCACCTGCACTTCGTTTAGATGCCATGATTAATATCCAGAGACGAGATGTAGTTATGAAAAGAAGGAAAAGCCAAGTGATACGTACTGAGGGAAAAAATCATTCGGTATGCATCCAGATAAACTGACCTGCATAGGAGGCTTTGTTTATATACACTTTACCCCTGGTCAGTGCTAAAACAATGGAGTTGCCTAGTACATAGTAGGAGGGGGGAAGGATTCTCCTGCCTGCTGTTCTGAAACGATGTATAGGATAGCTGGGTTATCTTGGGCATGTGAGTTTCTAACCACTGTTCATTTACAGTAATACATTGTAAATGTTGTATATAGTAGTCAGTAATAATGTTAAATATGATACAGTAACAGATAATTACATAAATGTTTTCCATTTTTACTTTTATCTGAGTAGACTTCTATTCATTTTATATAAATTGTTGTATAAATGTATTTCTTATACACTTTTCCCTACACAAATATATCACAATAAAGCTTTTAACTAATGTAAGTAATTTCTTTTTACCTTTTCTAGACATTAATATTGAAGATTGACAGTTGAGTGGTTTGCTGGTATAAGCATAAGAGAACCAGCATATTGGCTAGTTATCAGGGACATGAATGTTTTCTACTAGTATCTCTAGAGGGAAAGTGCATAAATGTGTGCAAGATCACCCACCATTTGTGGTTGCAGGGGGGTAGTCTCCTGGCCCTGTCTCTGCTAGTCATGAGTGAGTAGAGAGAGCAGAGAAAAAGGGAGGGGGGAACCTTTCCCTTATCAATAACTATTCACTCAAAACCATTTATTACTTTGTCATTAATATTATATTCATGAAAGTGAAACCCATAAGGGTTATAGAGCACCTGTAGGCTGAAGGCAAGCAGGTTCATCCAAAGTGAAAGGTAGCTCCAATCTTTAGATTAAGAGACCTTCACCATTATTATTATAATGAAAACTAAGTGTTAAACCACCGTGGATCACGCAGCAACGCACACCTTAATCAGCATCAAGGTTAACTTCCTCTCCACCTCCCACAAGACTGCTTTTGGATAAATCTTCAGTGAAAATTTTTATAGTAATTTTTTTTTTTTTTCAGCAAGTCGGCCGTCTCCCACCGAGGCAGGGTGACCCAAAAAGAAAGAAAATCCCCAAAAAAGAAAATATTTTCATCATTCAGCATTTTCACCTCACTCACACATAATCACTGTTTTTGCAGAGGTGCCCAGAATACAACAGTTTAGTAACATATACGTATAAAGATACACAACATATCCCTCCAAACTGCCAATATCCCAAACCCCTCCTTAGTGTGTATAGGTTTCACGTACGTCTTTATACAATAAGCAGAATCATAGCACTAAAAAAAGTTATTCAGGTTATTATGTACTTGTACATAAGGAGAATAATCAATTAGGCAGAAGTACTCTTAATTAAAAAATCTTAGCAAACATTTTCATGAATTTATTTTTATGAAATTAAACAAAAAAAATTATTTTGCATGAAAATTAATTAAGAAACCTGACCTAATCTTACTAAAATTTATGAAATCTAACTGAGCTTTATCTTATAAGACTTGTACTGTATATTTATGAACAAACAAGTAAAACAAAAAATTGAGCTGAATATATACTAGTTTGAGAACATTAAACCCACATTATAAAGTACATCATCTGTCATAATTCTGTTTTAGCTACAGCATATCTAGATAAAGTATACTGAAAATATCTACATTCTCTTTTCTTTCTAATATGGGTTATCATACTGAACTTGAACCTCAGGAAGACTGTATAAGCAGCTCCTACTTAATGCTATACCCTGTATAAAGTGCATAACTCACAATTATACTACACTTATGTATAGCTAAATTAACAATTAAAAAATTAATAAAAAAGTCTTGTACAATTGTGATACACATCACACATCTGAAAGTTACAAAATGGTCAATCTCAATATCCTATCAATTCTCTTGTCTCCTCCTTGGACAAGGGGTATGGACATTCAGTCCATCTTTTTCCTGATCTGAATCTCTTGCACTTACATATACCATCATTGGCTTCAGAATGGTTGACGGGGTCTATCCTTGACATGTCAAACAAAGGACCAAACAGGTTATCAGGAATAACGAAGAACAATTCTACTTTATGACCATTTAAATTCCATCTGCCATCATACCTACGAGCATCAGTCAGGAACCAATCTTTTCCTCTTCCATCACTGAACCAGGGACCTCCCCACATGCGGGGGTTATAAAGAGGTAGCTGATACCTTTCAGTGGTTATCAGAAGCCTTGATGCACTGCTAGTATTATAATCAACAACTTCCACAAAATATATGTTGAAATTCCGTATTTTCTTGAGGACACTCCTTAAGTTGACTGTAAAACTCACATTTCCATACCAATTATTCTGACCATCATTCGGAACACTGATGCCATACCAGAGCCCACACAGACCAGGTACTTTGTTCAGTAAGTGTGTGTGAGTATGTTCTGTCAAGGGATATGATTTCATGTGTTTGGCATTATCAATTTCTAGGTAGTCATCTATGTGCACAGTTCTTACTATATTATAGGAAAGTTGATAGGATTTGAGCCCTTCATCAGGTGCGAGAGAGTAAACTGAATCTGGTTTCCAGCATTTAAAGAATGGCTGGCCATGACCTTTAAACAGAATCTGGTCTTCCAATGCCATTTTAGTCCCAACTTATTGTGAACTACTGCAACTGCCTGGGTATTTCACACCTGTCTGAAAAAAAATTAAAAATTTTAAATTTCAAATACTAAATTTATTATTTTGAAGTAAAGACTGGTGCACAGCACCCATGCAGAAAAAGCTCAACATGAAACAAAATACTGTCAGAATACAAGCTTTTCACCTGTCTTTTCTTCATCAGTGTTGACAGTATGCCATATCTGCTACTCTTTTGTTTTATAATTTATATCTTTATTTCTACAAGTACATGTACAAGGTATACAGGCCTAGCTGACATCAATGATATACTACTATACAGAAAGTCGCTAGTTATGCAGAGCATTTCGGGCAAATTAGATCAGTTTTTTCCCAGGATGCAACCCACACCAGTCAACACCCAGCTACCCATTTTAGACTGATGGGTGAACAGGGACAGCAGGTGTCTTATGGAAACGCGTCCTGTTTTCCAGCCGTATCAGAGATTCAAACTCCGGACCTCAGTGTGTGAGCTGAGAGTGCTACCGATCAAGCTACGGAACACCCCTCTTGCAAATTAGACTTGCATAACTAGACATGGTTTGCAAACAAGACATACAACACATGATTATCTTTATTTTAGGTCATATATGGGCAGGGCCCAACATTAAAAGTTTAAAGTAGAATGAAGCAGAAATACATTCTAGCATAAGCCAATAGACCTACTGAAGTGCTCCTCCATTCTTGAATTCTTATATTCCTTGTACCATGTTGATTCTGGATCTAATTATAAATACATCAAAGGTATAAACCAGCTAGTTAATGTGATGTGTGGAATGCTTCTGTATCTTCATTTCAGGGACACTTTACCCATCAGTGCCATAAGTCAGTAATTTGACTTTATACAAAAACAAATTATGTAGTTAAAAATGAAAAAAAGGCAGTCAGAAATAAATGCTGCAGACATTCCAGCCACTTAAGCAATCTTTCCTCTATTCATTAATCACATCCCTAGGCCTCCTTTAATGCTTACCCTCCATTTTGACTTGATTTTCACAAACAAATCAAGTTTTACCCTATTTCTTGGTTAATAAAAATAGAACCAAGAATGGCTTCCTGGTTTAGGCCCAGTAATTGAAGCTGACCTACTAAAACACAGACCAGGTGGCTAAGATCTCACACCCGTCCTCAGGAAAATAATCATTAATTGAACATTTCTTCTACTTTTGAGACCTATTCAGATCTTTTCATCTCTGAAACCTATCATAACTGCCACCATTTTGCTAGTATATCATGATTTTGGTGAAGTTTTATCAAGGCTTGGCTGACTGTTAATTAAGCAGCATTTTATGTTAATGGTTAGAAATGAAAATGGTAATCCATTACCAGTGATATTCCACAAGGGACAGTGTGTACCTTGTACACAATCTACAAAAGACAGTGCTGTATAGCCCTTGTGGCTTAGCGCTTCTTTTTGATTATAATAATAATAATACAAAAGACAGTGTAATAAATAATAAGTTATACTACACAAAACCCACACAGAGAAAAAAAAGCTTATGATGAAGTTTTGGTCCATCTTGGGCCATTAACAAGGTACCATAGGATGATTAGGATAAGTTATTGTGGTTGAAAAAGTGATAGATGCAATTTAAAGTAGACAAATAAATAGTTTTAATCCTAGAAAGTGAAAATAACCTGGGCACCTATGCACTAAATATAGATCTTAAACCAAATGCATGAAAGACCTAAGAATTCTGGTTCCACCCTCCCCATACAATTCTGGACAATGCTTTGCCCTACCCACCTAGTTATGGTTGTCAAATGATCTCTACCTCATTGAAGCTCCTCACTTTACCTTACCACAGCTCCTTAACTCTCCTGCCTCCCTGCTTATATATACAAGCCTATATTCCTACCCCATTTATAAGCTTGAACAACGTTCCAGGAGAAAACCTTTTTCCTCAATAAAATGTCCTAGGTGCGTGCTTGTGTCTTTATCCTTGCCTTGTTAGTATTGTATACACATACCTGGTTTCAGCAAACATGTTCTGATTAGCAGATATGTCAAGCAAAGACAAGAAAGCATAAAACAGCAATAAAACTCAGACTTCCTGGTTTTATAATTATAAACAATAGAAGTCCCAAGGTTATACCTCAGCATAATACTGTAATGTACATCATTGCTAAGGTCACATTTAGATCATACAAAACAGACAAATTAGCTGGAAAACAAGGATGACAAGGTTAATCATATGTATAATTAATCTATTGCACGAAGACAGGATGAAGGTGCTGAACATACACTCTTTGGAAATGTGCAGCGCTGTATAGCCTTTGTGGTTTAGTGCTTCTTTTTTATTATAATAATAATAATCTTTGGAAATGTGAAGTTAAAGAAAATATAACATGTACATGTGGAAAAATGAAATAAAGGATGTACAGTAGGGTCTCAACTTAAGACATTAATGAGTTCCTCAAAATTCACTGAAAGTCAACTGTTTGGCACTTGAAACCTACAGTATTTCCCACTGAAACTCATCTTTTAGTGGAGTATGTGCCAGTCATAATATTCCTTATCAATTTAAACTAATTTTTCCAAAGAACTGTTTATCCAGCACATGTATTTAATATCAATGTACATATACTGTTCCTTTATTTTACAAACAGTATTAAACACTACTTAATGTATAATTAATTAAAAAGAACATGGGTACAATACTCAGTACTCTTCTCCACTTCCTCACTGCTTTAGTCAAGTGATTTGAGATGTGTATTGGATAGCTCCCACTGTCCACACATCTCACCGACTGGCAGCTATCACTAAACCAAATTATTATACCCATATTAACTATTCTGTACCAAACAAACAAGTCATCTATACATGCACATGAACTTAAAATATGAATGCATTTGGCAAAAACCAAGAAAAATTATTTCTAACATTTTTCAAACATTAATATTAAATCTATATTATTGACCAATTCATAAATTATGTTAAGATATTAACAAAGAGATAATATATTTGTTAGTGGGATGTATTCAAGAACCTGCCAAGTATGGGCCAGTAGGTCTGTTGCAGTGTTCCTCCTTTCTTATGTTCTTCTTTCTTAGAAATTTATACAGTTCATAAAAAAATTGGCATAATAATTACACCATATTAAGAAAGTCACTTTTTCCTAATTAAGTGGTTCCAAAATACCAATGCCATCAGTGAGAAACATTGTAAACCAGAACATTTTAAGTCAGTGCTGCTGAAAATATCTGACCTGGATAAGACTTGCAGTAATAATAATAATAACAATAAATTGCTTATTTCTTCACACTGTACAAATGTAGTTTACATGAATTAATACAATAGTAGGCACAAAAAGCCACTAATTATGCACTGTATTTCAGGCAACTAAGAAATGCAACTAACCATAAGGCTTAAATGTTACTTAAAAACTAGATAGTCTATTTAGTAGGACTTCTTAAGTAGTTAACTACAATAATGAACACAATAAGAAAGGAAGCTAATGACAAATGGTCAATTATAAAAGAACTGCATATTATTTCAAATCGATTAAAAAATCTTCTGTTTTGTGGTGATAGAACAATGATTAAGATATAGCAAGCCACTTAGTTAGGTAAAAGGATACAAGTGCAACTAATGTGACATTTTATTGAGGCAATGTTTTGCTCTCCAGGAGCTTTATCAAACTCTATTGGTAATCCCCCTTATGTATGCTGGGAGGCAGTTAAACAGTCTTGGGCCCCTTGCACTTATTACCTGGAGTTTACCTGGAGTTCCGGGGGTCAACGCCCCTGCAGCCTAGTCTGTGACCAGGCCTCATGGTGGATCAGAGCCTGATCAACCAGGCTGTTACTGCTGGCTGCACGCAATCCAACATACGAGCCACAGCCCGGCTGGTCAGGTACCGACTTTAGGTGCTTGTCCAGTGCCTGCTTGAAGACAGCTAGGGGTCTATTGGTAATCCCCCTTATGTGTGCTGGGAGGCAGTTGAACAGTCTCGGGCCTCTGACACTTATTGCCGAGTCTTTTGTTTTCGTTGTGAGTGATTTTCGTGTGCAAGTTCAGTACTAGTCCCTCTAGGATTTTCCAGGTGTATATAATCATGTATCTCTCCCACCTGCATTCCAGGGAGTACAGGTTCAGGAACTTCAAGTGCTCCAGTAATTGAGGCGTTTTATCTTCGTTATGCATACCGTGAAGGTTCTCTGTACATTTTCTAGGTCTGCAATTTCACCTGCCTTGAAAGGTGCTGTTAATGTGCAGCAATAATCCAGCCTAGACAGAACAAGCGACCTGAAGAGTGTCATCATGGGCTTGGCATCCCTAGTTTTGAAGCTTCTCATTATCCATCCTGTCATTTTTCTAGCAGATGCAATTGATACAATGTTATGGCCCTTGAAAGTGAGATCCCTCGACATGATCACTCCCAGGTCTTTGACGTTGGTTTTTCGCTCTATTTTGTGGCCGGAATTTGTTTTGTACTCTGATGAAGTTTTAATTTCCTCATGTTTACCATATCGGAGTAATTGAAATTTCTTATCGTTGAACTTCATATTGTTTTCTGCAGCCCATTGAAATGCAGAGCATTTCATGCAAATTAGACTAATTTTGTCCCAGAATGCAACCCACACCAGTCAACTAACACCCAGGTACCCATTTTACTGATGGGTAAACAATGGACAGAAGGTAACTTAAGGAAGCACTTCCTCATCATCGACACCATGCCTAACTCTTCTAGGGTAGGGTAGGTGCCTGAGCCAGAGCTTGCAGCTCACAAGACTGTCATTCCCGTTAGGCCCCTTGGGGCGGGGATGGCAGACTAGAGAGGCCTAGCTTCTCCCTACGAGCCCCGTGAGGACGGGGAATGTGGCTAGGCCTGGGGACAGTTGGTCCCAAAGATGAGGGGGTACTTGTGCCTCCTCCCATGGGAGACTTAGATCTCAGACACTCCAAGGCCAAGGCCAGGCCACCACTTGAAAAAGGCCCGGGCCAGGAGAATACCGGCAAATCAAGAAGAAGAAGAACTTCCTGTCTCCACCCCTACCGGGGATTGAACCATGGA